CTGGCGGCGGCAGGGGCGCACGGGCCACACACTGGCGGCGCTGGCAGCGGCCCCGGCGGAGGCGGAAGCGGCCCGGGCGCGGGAGCGGCGGCCGAAGAGATCAACACCAAGGAGGTGGCGCAGCGCATCACCGCGGAGCTCAAGCGCTACAGCATCCCGCAGGCCATCTTCGCGCAGCGCATCCTGTGCCGCTCGCAGGGCACCCTCTCCGACCTGCTGCGCAACCCCAAGCCCTGGAGCAAGCTGAAGTCCGGCCGCGAGACCTTCCGTAGGATGTGGAAATGGCTCCAGGAGCCCGAGTTCCAGCGCATGTCTGCGCTGCGCCTCGCAGGTAGGATCGCTGCTCTCGGCTGCCTGGCCCTGGACACCCGGGCCCCTCCCCACGCCCAGGCCGTGCACCTCGCCAGCCTGAACTCGCCCGCCATAGGCTACACTGAGAGATCTGAGCCTCTGCCTGTTCGTATCTTCGCCAAAAGGGAGAAAGAAATGGTGCCGTCTTCCCCCACACCCCACCCCATCGCCGCCCTTGGCCCTTTAGGGACGCGCAGGGGTCTCTGGTCTCTGTTGCCCTGCAAGGAGGGTCGGCCTGCTTCCGGGCGCAGTGCCCAGGGTCGCTCATTGTGTGATCGCGCGTCTGTTTTGGGAATTGAGCTGCTGTGTCCCCGGACCGTCCGCTGCTGTACTCAGGGGGGTCCTACTCCCTTCCTCGCCGAGCCTGCAGCCCTGGGCCGCCGAGCGCCGAGTCTGTGCACGGACCCGGGCGCCGCTGCAGCTGGGGACAGGCCGTGCTCAGCCCCCAGCCCAGTACGCTCTTCTTTGTAGCTCGGCCCTGCGATCGATAGCCCCCTCCCCCACTCCGGCCGCTGGCAAAGGTCACCCGAGAGTGGCGGGGGAGGGGCGGCCCGGGGGACCCTCGGCTAGCTCGGCCCGGAGGCCTTCACACCCTGCCGGCCGCCCCCGCCCATCTTCGCTCTGGCCTCGGGTGTGCGCGCCGCGGCCGGCCTTCCTTTGGGGGCTTTCTCCGCTTCCCACACCTTGTGCGCGGACCAACCATGGCAATTTATTTCCCGCTTGCCCTCCGTGTTTCTCCGGTAGCTACTGGCTCTTTTTTCTGTCCTCCCGGGCCCACGCCAATTGCTGCCCCCTGGGAACCTGGCTCCCTCCTCCCTCCCAGCTGACAACCGCTGGGTCTACACCTGCCCCCAGCCAGGAGCCGGCTCAGAACCCAGTGTCCTGTGGGTGTGGGGGAGTTTGCAAAAAAAAAAAAAAAGTCCCCCTACCCTAGGGAGGGGCTGTTTTCCTCTTGGTGTTAGGGAGCTGGGGAGCAGGCTGTGCACCCCGGGCCTCAGCGACAATAGCAGCTTCCAGCACCCGATCGATCGCTCGGCTTCTTTCGCACAAGAGCAAAAAGGGCGGAGACTGACACGGGGTTCCAGCGAGAAGCCCCGTAGAGGGTAACACTGGGGGTTGGCTGTGCACCCGACCCGGCCTCCCAGACGTCAGGGTTGATCCCGTGCAGGCTCCCCCACACCCAGGACGGGTGGCACTGTCTGCACCCATGCCCTGGCCTCAGTTTCCCCCTTCTGCAGAGCCCTGTGTCTGACTGGAGTCTCCTCCCTCTGGGCCTCTAGGATTCTCCGCTTGGGGGCCTTGGGAAAATAAATTGCTGTGTGAATGTGGCAGGTACCTAAGTCCTTGGGGAGGGGTCTGGGGCATGGTACACCCAGCTACCAGCATTCACGCTGAGCCACCTGGCCTGTCCTATTTGTCACACACACGCACACACACACACACACACACACACTCACTCCCACCAGCGACACTTGGCCACATCCACACTCAGTGACTGGTGAACTGAGGGGGCAAAGAGCTCTGACCCAGAAATGTCGAGGTGCCTGCCAAACTGGGGTTCCCACATGGCCAACCGACTGCCCAGTGCTGCAGCCTTCCTGCTGTGTAAGTTGGACCCACATCACGCCATGTATGCCCTGCCTGCTCACCTTGTGCCTCTAAGATGACCCTTTAGCAGTCCCTATGTCCTGCCCCCCCCCCAGTTGAATCATTTGCACTGAGCTCCATCCCTAACTCTTTGTCACTGTCTTAATTTTGAGACAGGGCCTCACCAAGTTGGCTGAGCTGGGCTCAACTTGCCATCCTCCTGCCTCAGCCTCCCAGTTACCACTATGACAGGCCCCATTAGGTAGTGGTATTTGCATGTCATGTTTTGGGGTCACACAATTGATCAACCAAGAAACAAGCAGCCCACTGGCTGCCAAGAGCACAGAGGGACCTGCTGCCGGCTGAGTGGTGCTCAGCAGCACCGAGATGCAGGTACATGAAGCCCTGTGTCCCTATTCAGTTCTGTGCACCCCTACTGCCACCCAGGCGACCATGTGCCTCCACCCACTGAAAGTATAGTTACAGGTGGGGAAACTGAGGCCACGTTTACCCAGGCGCCACTTCCTGACTCCTGCAGTGGCAGAGTCTCAGCTCTCCTTTCCTGGGCAAGTCAGTGACTTAGCAAAACCCTGTCTCAAAATAAAAAGGGTTGGAATGTAGCTCAGTGCAAAGACCCTGGGTTCCATTTCCATATACCGGTCAAGGGAGCAGACAGCCTTGGAGATAATGAACTGGGACAGCTTGGCCTGTCACCGGCTCTGTCTGGGCGGTGGACCAGGCCATGACCCCACCGCACCTGGACGCGCCTGGGGCCAAGTCTACCCTGCCGGCTCTGCCAGAGAGGCAGAAGAGGCTGCTGAGGGCAGCCAGTAATTAGGCCCGGCCAAGGCCTTTAGTTCCGGTTCCTGCGCAAATGAAAAGTGGTTAAGTGGCGGCAAATCGCAACGGTTAAGGGGGAGGCGGCCAGGCGCGACCCGGATACCGCCGGCCCAGCACGCGAGGCCCAGCAGGGTGAAGGTGCTCCTGTGGGATGGCCTGACCCATGGGCAGAACAGTGACCCACTGCCTTAACAGTGTCCACAAGCTTCAGTGTCCTGCCCTGGAAAGAGGCACAGCTAGGAGAGAGAACAGAGACAGAGGCTGTGGAGGGAGAAGACATGAGGACAGCTGGGAAGAGAGTGAGACAGACAGACAGACAGACAAGAGACAACGAGATCAAGAGACCAGCTTCAGAAAGGCAGGAAGAGGAAGAGAGTTCACGGTTTTCCAGGACCCTCTGCTCCCAAGGCCTCCAAAACAGGGCCCCCTTCTGCCCCTGGATGACAGAGCAGGCGACAAAAGGGGATGTCCATAATTTCTTTGTTTCCTAACAAAGACCTCAGAATCCCAGTCTCTACTTCTTTGCCTGCATGCCTCAGTTTACCCATCTGTAAAATGTGTGTTTTGGGGGATGGGAGGCAGGTTCTGGCCATGGCTGTGACCGGCTCCTGATAGATCAAAACCCATCCTACAGTCCCTGACCCCATTTTCACAGGCTGGGGACCCCAGAGTCCTCCACCCCCACCCAGTGGATCATCGACTCAAACTGTGATTATGGGAAGGGGGCTGGGGGAGGGACAGCCTGGCTCCTCCTGGGGTGGGGGTGGTCAATGAATTCGAATTACCGTCTCTAATTCATCACCGTCGGGTCGATAGCTTCAGCCGCCTTCAAATATTGTTTAAATTGCAATGGGGGAGGAAAATTATTTTTTGTAACTGATCAGGAAAATATACATATATTTAATAAAATATCAAAGGGAGGCAGTTGAAAAAGGAGCCCCCATCTCCATCTCCTCACCCAGAGGGAAGCCAGAGGGATGGACCCTCAGCGAGGGATCCTTCAGCCTAAGTGAAGTAGATTGTTCTGAGGACAGACCCAAGCACCTCCCTCTGGACCTGAGCGCCAGGGCAGAGGTGGCCTTGGTCTGAATGGGTGGGGGCTGGGCTGGGTGCCTGTGGGAAGCTAGGAGTCCAGAGGGAGAAATAACCCCACCCACCTCAAACCCACCCTGCAGCTCCATCTAAGACAGGCTGGATATGGGGCGCTGCCCCCAGCAGCTAGACCCCTCACCCTTAAAGACCCAAGCTCCTGGCTGGCTATTGGGAAGGGAGAGTACACCTGCTATCCCAGCACTCTGGGATGCTGAAGCAGGAGGATCACAAATTCAAGCCCAGCCTTCACAAGGTAGGGAGACTTTGTGTCAAATATAAAAATAAAAAGGGGCTGTGGATTTTAGCTCAGTTGAAAAAGTTCTGGATTGAAACCCTAGCACCAGGAAAAGGAGTAAGGGAGGGAGGAAAAAAGGAAAGAAGGGAAGGAGGAAAGACAACCTGGGTTCCATCGGTCTCAAACTGAGCCTCAGTTTCCTCATCTGAGAAATGGGCACAATTATGGGGCAACTCAGAGCAGAGAGTAGCACTGGGTCCCTCCCCATGAGTCTGGAAGGGACATATGGCTATTCACATCAAATATGAGCTGGGAGAGACCACTGTGTATTGAAAGGTTCCCAGTGACTTTTATGTGTCTGTCCTGCTAGACAGGACCCCTCACCAACCTTGCAGAGAAGCCCACAGAGGAGTCTGAAGGACTTGTTTGCTGAGAGGCTGTGGCTGGTATCTGGCTCATTTAACCTCAGTTCTTAGATTAAAGTCCTAGCACCACCAGTCCATCTGCAATCTCTCCCTCATTCCTGCACTCCACCCCTATCAACCACTACCACTCTAGTCTGAACCAGCCCTACCTTTCTCCAGCTCCTCCTTGCTGGTCTTCCAGCTCCACCTCACTCCTTGTTGCTTTCTGCCCTGCAACCCAAGGAGGCTTTTTATGACCCCTTGGAGCTTGTGGGCCCCTATTTTCATTGGCCCCGCCTGTGTGGCTTCTCCTATCTGTCATGCTGGTAGATGGGGGAGAGGGAGGGCACTGGTGGCCTGTAGGCGGGCCTGGGACAAAAAGCTGCAGGTAGGAAAGTTGGCAGCAGTGGGAGGCGGGCAGGGCCCTGCATCCTCTTTGTGTTCAGCCAGCAAGAGGCGGCTTAACCAGGGGAGCGCGAGCTGGTTTGAATCCAGTTTTTAATTAAATATAGACGGTGATCAATAGGAAGAGCGGGACAGGAGGGGGAGGGGAGAGTCTGGGCCCAGGGCCGGGAGGCCGGCGACCTGCATGACCTTCGGCAGCATTGGACCCCTGCTGCCTCGGTTTCTCCTCTACCAAGTGAGCCAGCGCTTAAGTAAGGTTGGGAGCCTGGAGCTCTTTTACTTTCTATTTTTATTTTACTTTTCGAAACCGTTTTTATGGAGAAGTCTGTTGCTTTGCTTCTTTCGCGTCTTCCTGCATGGGAGCCCAGGCTGGGCTGCAACTAAACTCGCTGTGACCCTCCTGCCTCAGCTTCCCCA